TATTCTTTGGCCTTCCTCTTTGCCTTTTGCCTTAAGGGTTCCAGGTGAGGGCTTGTCTTGTGACACAGTTAGGTGCTTATCGTAGTGAGTGTCCTAACCACTTCCACCACTTCTTCCTGATTTCCTCCTCCACTGCAATCTGGTTTGTTCTCCCCACAGTAGGTTGTTGCTGATGGTGTCCGGTCAACGAATCCGAAGTACTTTACGAAGGCAACTGTTGATAAACACTTGTGTCCTCTGGATGATGGCTTTCGTAGTTCTCCATGTTTCCACTCCATACAGTAGAACTGTCTTGACATTTGTATTGAAAATGCTGATTTTGGTTTTGGTTGAAAGTTGTTTGGAGTTTCAGATATTTTTCAATTGTAGAAATGCAGCCCTTGCTTTGCCAATCCGCACGTTCACATCTGCCTCGGATCCACCTTTCTCATCGATGATGCTGCGCAGATATGCGAAGGTGTTAACGTTCTCCAACGCATCTCCATCAAGAGTGATTTGGTTGGTGCATGTTGTGTTGCATCGGAGAATTTCGCTTTTTCCTTTATGTATATCGATACCTGCTGCTACACTGGTCGTCTTCTCTTGCATTTGTTGTTGCGTGTGCGATAGAAGAGCCAGATCTTCTGCGAAGTCCAGATCGTCTAGCTGCGTCCCAGCTGTCCATTGAATACTCTGCTTCCCTCCAGATGCTGACGTCTTCATAATCCAGTCGATCATATATCAGTATTCATTGTTCAACTATATTGTTTATTAAAAACCTGTTCGTTACTACTAGTTTTATTCACTATTTTTTAATTCATATCATTTTGATGGTTACTACTCATCAGTTGGCTTATAAAGGTAGTTTTCAGTGGAGTATCACCCATAAGTTGCTATCAGAAAGAGACTAATGGCTGGACACAGTCAATTTGATCTATCCAGCTTAAATGACTATCAAAATCATTATTATTAGCTATGATGATAGGCAGTACAGCAACCTAATGAAAATGACCCTAGGGGAATGTTGCAAAACAACCATTACTATCAATAGAATCGGTCAAAACTTGCCAAAATATTGCCGAACCATCCACAATGTTCATCACAACGAACCTCTGGTCTCACAGGAATGGCATATCGTATGGTATAGGATAGTAAGAAATGCAGCCCAGCTTGAGGCAATTTGGCTCAAACACTCTACGATTACACTTCGTCTCATGTTGGGTAAAGATTTTTTCGCAATACTGAAATGTTCATTTTTTCCGACCAAATGAGACCCGAATTAGGGGTGATAGTATCCGTATCACTTTTCACTTTCCCCATTTTGAAAAAATGGGGAAAAAAACTCAACTTCTAACCTTTACTTTATTTCAAAATCAAATTTAATTTCGAAATTTGAGATCATAATGATAAAAAAATGTTTTCTAAATAAATAATCGCTGAAATGAAATTTAACCGGAACAAATAAAAACTAGCGTCTATGACTTCCTACTTCGATTTCAAATAAGCAGGTAAATGAGAAGAAAAACACACTGAGAAGGCCAAATAAAAAGCGAGAAATAGAGACGGATCAAAACTAAAAACAACACTGATAAAAACAGCAGCAACAACGAGAACACGATGACAGCATCAAGACACAAATAGTTGGTTGTTTACAGTCAATCCGAGTTTTCGGATTTGTCTCTTTGTGTGTAGGTGTTTCGGGGTTAGAGGAATAATGAAAGCAATAACTATGTTACTTAAATTAGTATAGGAACTGATCAACAGTGTGCATCCACTATCTCGTAAGCGGTGATGAAACGCCAAGATTACCGGTTGCAAGCGTGAACGCTCACTCTCTAGAACACTGCATTAGGATCCAGTTCAGTTCAGTCGCTATCGGGTAGGAGACACTTATCCGCTACAGGTAATCGATGAAGATTACACATAATTGTGGAACGACTGAATTTAGATATCAATACTATTGGATGCTTGCTCAATGGTTGAGAAGATTAGTGTCCGCACTCGAGACCGAATATATTTCTGGTCAGCGTTTTTTTGGCAAGTTAGATTTTGACGGAATGAGGTCGCCAACCCCATGCCCAACCCTCGTCCTTTATCCGGGCTTCGGACCGGCAGTAGCCTCGAACGTTCTACTGGCGGAGTTGATGGAGATGCCTTGGAGAACTTTAACACGTCCGCATATCTGGGCAGCATCATCGATGAGAAAGGTGGATCCGATGCAGATGTGAAGGTGCGGATTGGCAAAGCAAGGGCTGCATTTCTACAGTTGAAAAATATCTGGCACTACAAACAACTTTCAACCAAAACCAAAATCAGCATTTTCAATACAAATGTCAAGACACTTCTACTGTATGGAGCGGAAACTTGGAAAACTACGAAAGCCATCATCCAGAGGACACAAGTGTTTATCAACGGTTGCCTTCGCAAAATACTTCAGACTCGTTAGCCAGACACCATCAGAAACAACCTACTGTGGGGAGAACAAACCAGATTCCAGTGGAGGAGGAAATCAGGAAGAAGCGGTGGAAGTGGATAGCACACACACTACGAAAAGCACCTAACTGCGTCACACGATAAGCCCTCACACGGAACCCTCAAGGCAAAAGGAAAAGAGGAAGGCCAAGGAACACATTACGCCGAGAAATAGAGAAAGATATGAGAAGAATGAACAAAAAGTTTACAGAACTGGAAAGAGAATCCCAGGACAGAGTTGGTCGGAGGAAACTGGTGGGCGGCCTATGCTCCATTGAGGTTAACAGGCGAAAGTAAGTAAGTAAGTAATCATTTCGGTAAAATTGCATTTGAGAATTCAAGCTGTTGACATAGAGAACATTAGAATCATTCCATTGTATAGGAGAGATTTATCAACTAACCCACTCACAGAATACAATTTCATCAACATCCACTTTCTCAACCATACATTTTCTCTGTACATTACCTATGTGTGATCATAATCTGCCATATATCATCCTATCAAGTGAATTGCAATGTGATCTCTTCTATGTGATCAATGAACTGAAAGGATAATTGTATAATAATCAAAATTATGTTTGAAAATCGTTCTGAGATGGAAGAGAAAAATTTGTAGGCCAGGTGGATGATTATGGTGGAGTTTCATTGTCTGAGCTGAGTGTTTTAGATGTGCGGCTTCCATGCATTGTTCTTCAGAACAACATCATCAGCGCAAACTTCAAGTAGAAGTGTATTGTTCGAATCTCTGCACATATAACTTGTAGCCTGTTCTGTTAACCTCGATCTTGATTGGTTGTTACTGACTTTAGAGATGTCATTTTCTCCCACTTTATTTTGATTTGGTTCTTGATCCTGTTTTCTCATTAGAGTATTATGAAGATGGTTGTTTTACGTTGAAATCATTGATAAATCATTGTTAAACCACCATTAGAAACCTGGAAGCACTGGACGGCCGTTTCTTCTTGATATGAGACTTTTGATCCTTTGCTGGTCAATGATTTTTCTGATTGGCTTGTAAATTCGACCAGTGAGAATGTGTTTATTGATTGCCGATTGACCTGAGTGTACCAAGCTTACGAAAATTCTCTCACGTCCTTTGAAGTTCTCTCCATCCAAGACTTCAACATCTTTCCAATCTACTGTATGTCCTTAGTTGTCCTCACGTATTGATTGAGACGAGAGAAGAAATTTGCTAGAGTTTAACTGCTAATTGATGTTCATATAGGCCATGTCAACAGGACAAGGTACGAGTCAAATGTGAAGAAATTCAAATTATTCACCTCTATCTATCTGAAGTTTGTGCTGATGTTTTTCAGCAGAAGAACGATGAAAACTCCAAAAAATCCAGATTGCAGAACGAAACTTCACTATAAATGAAGAGCATTAACTGTGTGATATACTCACTAACTGATATGCTCGGCACTATTACGAGTTCACCTTACTCGGTAAACAGAACGAAGGTCAATGATACAGTGACACGATACGCTACTCTGACTCGATTGTCCCCGGCCCTGTTAACTAGATTAAGAAGTTTTGATAAAACGTAGAAAGTGTATTCTACAAGCACCCAGAAAATACGAGGTTGCTAAGTACACATACCAAGATTATTTATACAATGATAGAAACGCCTCTGGGAGAGTCACACAATACCTTACTAAAATAATGCGTCAACCAATGGCAGTCAAGGATTTTCCAAGTGGGAAATGTAAGTCGAAGGTCAACTAAGTGTCTTATGCGCGAAAACATAAAAATTCAAAATTTCAGAATAAGATTACAAAATTAAGACCTTTATAAGTGAGTTCTAGGGATCTAACGTCCCCAACACTGTGAATATATATAGTTTAATTTAAGTGATAAGTTTCCATTATGAATCTACTCTATGCTTCAATTTCACCGCGAAATAATACATAATAATATTATTTAAAAATTGAATTATGGCGCAACTTAAAAATAATCGTTAAATTAAAACAAAAATAACAAAAAAGAAAAGAAAATGAGATGAAATTTCCTAAAAAATATCAACGAACAAATTTAGAGTAGAAAATAAATTTTTGCGCTGAATGGACTAATTTTGGGGCACAGTTTTTGAGGTTTGCGTTTTTACACATTTGAAATCATCAATCAATCATTGTTAGACCACCACTAGAAACATGGAAGCACTGAAAGACGGCCGTTTCGTCATGGTATAGGACTCATCATTGGCAGTGGACATCCACGAATCCTGCTCCTCGCAGGATCCGAACACAGGACCTTTGGCATTGTAAGCGAACGCCTTACCATCGGACCACTGGCGCTGCCGGCATCCAACGGTGTTAATGTCTAACTCTGATTGATCTAGGGATTTTGCGCGACCTCACCCATTCGTCTTTGACAGTTACTGCCTACACCCGACAGGGTTGATTGAACTCCACTGGTCACGTCTTCTCAACTAGAACTCCGAGAATTTCCTCACGAAGCTAGTCACCACTAGTGATCACTGTTATGATATTTTCGGGCACAGTTTTGGAGGTTTGCGTTTTTACATATTTGAAATCATCAATCAAACTAACCTTTTTCCGTGGATTCAATCATTGTATATCGGTTATTAAATGTTTGTTTTAATGTTTCTTGATCATAACCAAATCCATCTTTCATCCATTGAACAATAATTTTCAAATTATCCGGTAATAAATATGGTTGAATTACTTGCCAAACAACTTTTGGTTTGTTTGATGATAAAGGTGATGAATATGTTTGACTATTGAATTGATTGTGTTTAGACATTTTTGAATAGTTCTCTTTCAAATCACCGGTATTATTTTGAATCATTAGTTGAACACGACATTTCAATCGAATAGTTGAATTCATCAATGCGTTGGTATGCATTGGACCATGAATTAATAGATAATGTTTTGATGTTGCACTGTTTGAAACTACTGATATGTTTATAAGTAGTAAAGAATGGAATAATGACCATGTCAATTTACACCCTGAAATTAAGAGTAAGGAATTTTATTAACAAACATTTGTAATTGTTTAAGTAATTGTTAATATGAGGAATACAAGTATAGGATTGGTTATTATTTCGTGACAGATCGATTTACTTACTTACTTACTTACGCCTGTTACACCCAATAGAGGAGCATAGGCCGCCCACCAGTTTTCTCCAACCAACTCTGTCTGTCCTGGGCATCCCTTTCCAGTTCTGTTCATTTCTCTCATATCTTTCTCTATTTCTCGGCGTAATGTGTTCCTTGGCCGTTCTCTTTTCCTTTTACTTTGAAGGTTCCATGTGAGGGCTTGTCTTGTGACGCAGTTAGGTGCTTTTCGTAGTGTGTGTCATATACACTAACTCCACCGCTTCTTCCTGATTTCCTCATCCACTGGAATCTGGTTTGTTCTCTCCCACAGTTCGTTGTTGCTGATGGTGTCTGGCCAACGAATCCGAAGTATTTTGCGTAGACAGTTGTTAATAAACACTTGTATCCTCTGGATGATGGCTTTCGACGTTCTCCATGTTTCTGATCCATACAGTAGAAGTGTCTTGACATTTGTATTGAAAATCCTGATTTTGGTTTTGGTTGAAAGTTGTTTGTAGTTCCATATATTTTTCAACTGTAGAAATGCAGCCCTTGCTTTTCCAATCCGTGCCCTCACATCTGCATCGGATTCACCTTTCTCGTCGATGATGCTGCCAAGATATGTGAAGGTGTTAACGTCCTCCAAGGCATCTTCCATCAAGAGTGATTTGGTTGGTGCATGTTGTGTTGCATCGGAGAAATTAGCTTTTTCCTTTATGTATGTTGAGACCTGTTGCTGCAGAGGCTGCTGCTACACTGTTCGTCTTCTATGGCATTTGTTGTTGCTTGTGCGATAGAAGAGCTAAGTCCAGATCGACCAGCTGCGTCCTAACTGTCCATTGAATACCGTGCTTGCCTCCAGATATCGACGTCTTCATAATCCAGTCGATCATCAGGAGAAAAAGTAAGGGTGAGAGTAAGCAACGTTGCCTGACACCGGTCTTCACCTCAAACGAGTCTGTTAGCTGTCCATCGTGTACGATTTTGCAGGTGAATCCATCATAAGAATTCCGTATGATGTTAACTATCTTCTCAGGCACACCGTAGTGTCGAAGAAGCCTCCACAGTGTTGTCCTATCCACGCTATCGAATGCTTTCTCGTAGTCGTGACAGATCGATACCAATCATAAAAGACGTCAGTTGGAGATTTTAGAAGCTGCGATGCAACGTTTTTGACCGTGACACTGGGCGACATTTATCCCAGTGATAGAAACATAAGGCATCTATGATCGATCCTCAAAATTCGTTCGGTAAACCTCTTCATTTTGTAATTTGTTTATCGAAATTTGAATTTCTTATTTTCACGTTAAAAGCCTTTTTTTATTAGCCTCAGTTTGTGTTTCCCATTTGGAAGGACCTTAAACCTTACTGGTTAGTTTTAGTTTAGTACGCGATTCCGTTACCCTTTTAACGAAACTTTTGTTTATTGTACTAATTACGCCTGGAATGAATATTTGTTCATTTGTTCGCTCAAGACTGTTCATGAGGTAGACAATCTTGCAGGTGACCTTGAACTTCCTGCTCCAGTTAGCTCGGTTGGGCTGAGCAGCAGAGAACAGATTAGCTGTCCTATTGTTGTGTCACACACTGGTTTACATTCCGTTCGTCGACATCTAATCGTATCGTAATTAGTGCAAGCATGTCAATCTGTACCCTTTAAACTGAATATAATGACGAATAGTGTGTATGAATTAAGATGACATCTTTGTCTCAAGCTACATGCTAACTGCTGTTTTGAGATAGTGAAGAATATTTGTAGATCAGATGGATGATTGCGGTGAAGTTTCGCTCTGTGAGCTGGATGTCTTGGTTGTGAAGTTTTCATTGTTCTTCCATTGAACAACATCATCAGCACAAACTTTATATAGAAGTGAAGTGCCGTGTTTTCGTCTGGCCGCACCTAGCTTTCATCCAACCTACCCTTACACCACCACAAAACATTGATTTCGAGGCAGTCGGTGGTTAGGCATACGTGGGTGACTCATAAGTAGTGTGCAGTAGATATTCAGAGGTGTGCTATTCTGAATTTTCTGCAGAAGAGAACAATTTCAGTGCTGGGTGTATGGCTCGGTCAAAGTGTTTTGAAGACCGTAAGATATAACGAAATACGACTGGCAATAATCTGGTTGTTTTACTAGTGAATGTTTGAAGGTATGGTCTAAACATTTAGTCTAGTAAACGATGTCTTCCATTCAGCCACACATCCCATTCGATCATACTGCCATCGATCGTTCCAACTTTTATTAGATTGAACAATTTAATCCTTATTTTAATACAAATTGAATATTGAATAGTTAGCGGAAAATTTCAAAAACCAAAAACTATTCTCTAATCATCATATAACGCGTTACTCATAACCGAATAACCATAATTGATTATTGTACTGCTCGAAGGACAAAGCGGATTCCAGCGGAAGAAGAAATCAGGAAGAAGCACTGGAGGTGGATAAGACACACAGTGAGGAAATCATCTAACTTCGCCACAAGACAAGCCCTCACCTTGGATCCTCAAGGCAAAAAAGAGAGCAAGGAAACCAAAGAATACATTGCGTCAAGAAATGAAGGCAGACATCAGAAGAACGGACAGGGATTGGGTAGAAATGAAACGGATGACCGAGGATAGAATACGCTGGAGAATGCTGGTCGGCGACCTATATGCTCTATTAGGAATAACAGGCTTAAGTAAGTAAATAGTAACCAATTAAGCTGTTACTTTCTTAGATAATTTTAACTGTAATAACAATGTCATTTATTTCTAAATTACAAATAATCACACGAAATTGTTATTATGATCACTGAACAAAATTCTGATATGAATTCAAACACAGTGGTAGCATAGGGATAAACATGATTTAAAAAAATCGATAAATATTTATTACGTAACAAACCATAGATCAGAATCTGATATGTATAATTTAATTTTCGCATGTTTTGATTACATTGTTCAATATTCAAACTCCGAATCAATTTTACTTAAACACATAAAGATTAGTAAAAAATGGGCAACTAAATATTTATGCGTCAAACGAATTAATGAATTTTTGAGTGAGCTATGATGCTGCCCAGCTGCTCGGAGGCTTATTGCGCGAGCCTGTGACCTAAAAGTCTACTCCATAAGACAGTGCAGCAAAGTAAGGAAATGCAGTCTTATGGTAACCTGTGATCAGTTATAAGCTTTTTACCATCAGGATCCTGGAATCTATGCGCACTAGTGTTTTCGGAATCCGGCCCAACAACTCGGTTAAAGTGACATACACTCATTTTTTGCCCGCTCCACTTCGCAGACACCATTCAAACCATGAGAGGCTAGTGAGTAGGACTTCTTTGACAGTTTCATTACACGTACAACCATGTTAGAACATTTTCATAGTGTGAGAGTGAGAGGCAGCTAACTTTCCACATTTGTCAGTGGGCTAGGACGTTGCCCAGTTGCTCAAAGGCCTACTGTTCGAGCCTATGACTCAAAAGTCTAATCCATAAGACACTGCAGCTGCGCAAGGAGATGCAGTCCTACGGTAACCCGTGACCGATTATAGGTTCATGCACCATTTTTTAACGTCAGGAATCCGGCCCAACAATGCGGTAAAAGTTCCGTACACTCAGTTTTTGTCCTGCCAACTTCGTAGACACCATTCACACCATGAGAGGCTAGTGAGTAGGACTTCCTTGACAATACCTTAACACGTACAGCCATGTTAGAACATTTTCAGAGTGAGAGAGAGCGGACTTTCCTCATTCCTGGTCGTACCAAGCGATTACAAGGGCTAACTTTTGAGTACAGCATTGTACTGTGACAGAAAAACAAATGTAATTTCATTTTTCTAGATAAATTAAAAAATCAAATCATATCAGAGATTAGTGTATTGCAAAATTTAATCAACTGTGAAGAAATGTTTATGTTCACACATCATTTTGTTTTGCCTTTACTCACTATTTAACATTGTACACATCATGTATGTTGGTATGCTTCAATAATATTAAACCATTATAATTTACTAAAGAGTATACAAATATTTAAGAGAATATAGTCTACCAAAAAGTGCGCTGATAATTTAAGTGACATGTAAAATGTATTTTATCTTGAATCATGTTAACTTATGAATAAATAATAATGTTAGATTTGATGTTTTCCTTTTTAAAACAAAAATAATTAGAATTTGAACAAGTTAGCATGTTGAAAAGAGTGAAACCAAGGATATGTGTAGAAAATATCCATCTATCTATCTATCTATCCACACATCTATCTATCTATCTATCTATCTATCTATCCACACATCTATCTATCTATCTATCTATCTATCTATCCACACATCTATCTATCTATCTATCTATCTATCTATCTATCTATCTATCTATCTATCTATCTATCTATCTATCTATCTATCTATCTATCTATCTATCTATCTATCTATCTATCTATCTATCTATCTATCTATCTATCTATCTATCTATCTATCTATCTATCTATCTATCTATCTATCTATCTATCTATCTATCTATCTATCTATCTATCTATCTATCTATCTATCTATCTATCTATCCACACATCTATCTATCTATCTATCTATCTATCTATCTATCTATCTATCTATCTATCTATCTATCTATCTATCTATCTATCTATCTATCTATCCACACATCTATCTATCTATCTATCTATCTATCTATCTATCTATCTATCTATCTATCTATCTATCTATCTATCTATCTATCTATCTATCTATCTATCTATCTATCTATCTATCCACACATCTATCTATCTATCTATCTATCTATCTATCTATCTATCTATCTATCTATCTATCTA